AAACAAAAATATTTCCTATGTTCTTCAAATTCAAACATAATTCAGGTGGCGCTATAAGTGTATTTGGATAGACGCCTCACCTGCCCCAGGGAAGCAAAAAGCAATCCGGAGAAAATTGGAAAATCAATTTTGTCACATTGAAATCAGTTTGATTTTCCCTCTAGTGCTTTCTCTGAGGCGTAAAATCCTGTCTTGATATGCACATTTATTCCAGCACTCTCTGTTTTTCTCCTCTCTTTATTGTAGACATGTCTCCCCGTGCCGTCTAATATTATTCTGACACGCGAGGTTGTTGGATCAATGGCAGGCTGTAATTTCTGACGCCTGGTAATGCTGCAGGGATGAGGCCGTTTTCTTAAGTTAGAAAAGATCAAAGAGTTTTTGTATTTTTCACTGGATTTACATGGAAATCACTGTTAATGAGTCTGCATTGCAAAAATGTCCCTCTTTACCTGCCGTCCTCTGAAGCAGGGCCGTGCAGAGTGCAGTTACTACAAGATTCAAGCACTATTCGTACGGTACACATCAAAACTGCACATGTCACTGGATGCTAATCAATACAGGGTTCCACCTTCGTCAGTCTCCATGAAGGCGAGCACGAGACTGTTGATGTGTTTTCTTCCTCTGCGATTCAGCATGCACATCTATGAGTGTTTGTAAGAATAACTCAGATAAGCTTAAATTAATAAATGATCTGTTCAGAGAAAACAAAACACCTTGTGAGATAGTGGCGCTTCATGCTGCGCACATTTTCCTGCTGATCCTTCATCCTGCACAAAAACATAATCTCACTATCTCATTTATCAGTCCAGCCATAGTTTCATCAGTCAGCTGTGCTTTCATGCACTGCCTCCCGTTGTCACAGCTGTACTGCAGCACATTATTTTAAAGGCTTGTGAACTAAAGGAGCAGAAATTTGAATCAGAAAAAAGCAAAGAAACCTGCAAAGGTGGCGGACGGCAGGACGGGGTGCACTGAAATCTCCCTTTGTCTTCAACATCACATCTGAATTTTAATCAGGTGCACTGCTTTGGCTCTTTTTGCTGTGAAGAGCTGAGAGTCTGACCTTCCAGTTTTCTGTCTTAGAGCCGTAAGTCATGTGCTCGTCATAAAACTCGATATTTTATCAAATAAAATGCTTCTAGTTAGTGGACAAAGCTTCTCGAAACTAATAAAATCATGCTGAAAATGATTTGCAATACATTTCCATCCATCTGGGGCATCTTTAGCATTAGGCTGCTGGGGGGCAGCGGCCAAGGCAGAGAAGCCCAGACCTCCCTCTCCCAGGAGAGCTGAGAGTTATAATCTCTGTCTGCCCTGGGGCCTCCCACAGTGACAGATTCCCAGAACATCTAGCGGATGTTCTCCTTTCAGTCACTACCCAGAGCTCGTGACCACACATGACCGTAGGGACATAGGTTGGCCGTTAAATTGAGAGCTTCGCTTTTACACTCAGCTCGTTTCACCAGTACAGCGTCCGCTCACTACAGCTGCAGCACCAATCCGTCTGTCGATGTCACGCTCCCCTCAGTCAACAAGCCCCTGAGGTACTCCTCCACTTGGGGTGGCAACTCGTCCCCCAATCCTGACTGGGCACGCCACCCTTTTTCGGCTGAGGACAATGGCCTCAGGCTTGGAGGTGCCAATTTTCGTTCCCCCAAACTCGCACTGCTCCGATGTGAGCTAGAGGCCACCGCCTGATGAAGCCGACAGAACCACATCATCAATGCCAGACACGAAATTCTGAGACCACCCAAGTGGTACCCATGCATCCTCCCACAGTCCAAAGACATGCAGTTCACGGCGTTAGGTTAACTGATGAATCTAAATGACCCAGGGCGTACCCCGCCTCTCACCCTATGGTAGCTGGGATAGGCTCCGGCGGCCCCACGACCTTGACAAAGACAAGCAGAAGAGGATGATGGACAGTATGTTTCACTTTAGCGCCTGTGTTATGCTAGATAAGCTGTTTGGTATTTGTTACAATTTTGGAAAGATATATCTCTGAGGCCGATCAGCTGCTCATCCATCATATTTGTGGCGACCAACTAATCGATTGATGCATTTCTGGTTTAGTCTTATTTATACTGTGTTCTGAGTTACGCTGAATGCATTTGAACAGTCTAAGTAGAGATGTGTGTATATGGTTACAGACACCAGGCAGAGACGTTCTCAGAAGTAATGTAACCGAGAAGGGTTCCCAGTGTTTTTGGCTTGAATATATTTGTTACAGAATGACCACATTTACACACACACGAGTCATTCTGATCTGTTTTAGTCCATGGAGTGTCCGTGTGCTGGCTGGTTGTAACCGGAGAGGACAGACTGCTAATGGCAGTGTGACTTTCTGACTCCCTAATGCTCTCCGGCCAATCTGGGAGCTGTCACTGCTCAGGATAGCCAATCGATAGAGTTGACCGACCCCTTCGCCCCTCTCATGTCTTACAAAGGTGAATTACATGGAGGGAAGAGGATGTCTGCTTGTGTGTGTGTGTGTTGCCACCGAATTGTGATGTTTGCAGTGATATAAATGAAACTTCTTGATGTGTTATGTTTGGTGAATCAGCCAAATTAAGGCACATCGTAACAGTTCCTGTTTTTAAGGTAAATTTCATTTTTAAAGTACTTTTGAAAACTGTTTTGACTTCTCTGAAAATGAGAGTGGAAAAGAAATTTGATTAGCATCGAGTCTACAACCTGTTTTACCGTCTACGCAGGGTGGGGATCTCCAGGCCT